TTTCAATCAGCTTTACTACAACGTAATGATTGATTAGTGCCATAAATTATTTGTCAGCCTTTGAATTCAGTAATAATGCAGTATATTATATACACAATGAAATATTATAAGATTTTCGAGCGATTTCTTAAATATTACCCTTGCTGAGGTACTTGACTCTCGAAATTCCACCCGGGCTGACGAACTCTTTTTAAATAGTAATATATGGCACTCTTCGAACCAATATGCATTTAAAGGCAAATTTAATAATATATATATGTGTAATTATTCTTTACATTTTAACCATCTATTCAAAATCTTTTYCCCTCCCCACTGACTTGGTAAGTAGTACTTTATTGTCTGATGTCATATAATGCTCTCAAAATGAAGTTAAGTAGCTACGATTAGTCTTGATAGTCAATTTTTTCAACATGTTTTTAGCAGTGTTTTTTCAAAGTGGAAATTAATTTTGTCTCGAATTCTCGTTTAGAAAAAGCCTCCGCAATCACTTACATTAGATGAGTACCAAATGGTATATTTTTCTTCATTGCTAAGAGTATTATCTAAGTARCAAAGCGGTTAGTGCTGCCTCTCAGTTTACTCTTAAATGTTCATTTATAGATTATTATATATATTGAAAGATGGATACGCGATCATCGCATAGTGTGCCAGTTATAAAACACAGTTCATATACTTTGTATTAAGAATTAACAGATAAGATGAAATGTATCGATTAGTCTGGGTTCCCAATATGTGCTTTTTAAGCCTGTTTTTTCTTTCTTAAAGCCCCGTTTACACTAACGATTTTTTTTTTCTTTTTCAATTTTGTCCATAATAAATAATAGCAAAGAAATTAATTGTAAAGTTTTTTTTCAGGATACCAAGATTTTCCTAGACGAATGTCTCTTTTGAAGGATGAGACAAAAGATTTCAAATTTCCGAAAATTGCCACAAAAAATGGCAGCCAAAATCGCCGCAAAAATCGCCAGTGTAAAATTATCGTAATTAGTCAGATCCGAAAACATCTGACATTATTTTCTATATCATAATTTATTTTCTTAAAAAATATCAATTCGGACCTGAATTGAAAACGATAACTTGGTATGTACCTGTGTTTCATTGATATAACGAGAAAATTGGTAAGACAAATATACACAAAAGAGGCGCGAAAGGGGCGAGTTTCTAAGCTAAGATACCAATCGCCTTAAAAAGCTGAACTCATTCTCGGTAACCCAGGGGAAAAATTCTGTCGCTCGTTTCTCGTTATTCTATAGGCTATCAAGCCACCAGATAGCTTAAATGAACTATAAAATATAGAACTATTTTTAAAATGAGGATTGGAAAAGGGTTTTTTGAAGCATGTCAAGTGTGAGTCGAGCATTCAGAGATACATCGTGTATTCTCTCGTGTATAAGGGTTTCTCAAGTCGTTTGCGTCATTGACCTCTACTACCACACTTTCTTTTGTTCACTTACTATTCTCACGAGGGAATACAAATTTGAATAAGAATTCGCGAAGCATCTTGGTAGTGGGAGTCAAATAACGCCATCTTGCAAACATCCTAGTCGTCCTATATATATTATATTATATTTTGCCTTTTTGTACCCCACTGAACGAGGGATCTGAGGATATTGTAATTATAAATTACACAGTGACTATCAATGGATTGTACTTAAAGTGCCGTCAAACCTCTAAATGGTATCAATTGATGGGTTGCAAGCATTCCCGAGAGAGTTAAAAGACAATTTAAAAACATGGCGGCCGCGATGACGTAACGTGCAAACGAAGAATATCTTGAAGCAGCTTAAGTCCTCCTCTCTCGTCCCTAGATCTTTTCTGCCATATAATTTAACACAGGGATCCAAACAGAGAATATATGGGGTAGCCTGCGGATGAGGAGGCTAGGATCGGAGATACCGAGACACCAGAGATGAGAGGCGAGAAGCATTGAGTGCGACACTACCGGGCTACGACCCTTGAGGCCCTATCACTGAAAGCAGGGATGTTGAGTGCTTCACTACAAAAACCATATATACGCGCTCCATCGATTAACCATCTACGCGATTCATCGATTAACGTGAATTCTTTTATTTATTGAACAATTCATCATTTATGATGCTTGACAAATATATTTCACAACATTATCTTGCTTTTGAAGCAAAATTAACGAGGTTAAAAATTCTTATAAGATTCATTTGTAGGACTTTACATACCTGGCAACGAAATTTATATTTTATTTATATTGTATCGATATTTGTAGT